GATAATATCATAAAGAAAGAAATTTATAGATATATTCAGTAAGCAATGAAGTGATTAGTGTAAATAATTGGGTTTAGAATGTCAAATTCATTTTAAATGAATTTGGCTTTTCTTATACGTGGGACAACCTATCAAAAGTAGTTTTTATTTTTATCAGAATTTAAGCAAACAGTTATTGATTGTTTTAGGCAAAATGGCATTCAGACATAGTTCTAAAACAATATCGTCCTGAAAACTTTATTAGTTATATCAAACAGACCTTTGCTTGGAACCATATTTAAGAAAATAAGAATAAGAATATCTGCTCATAAGATTAAAACCGAAAGATACGGACGTTATAGAATACAAAGAAATGAAAGAGTAAATGTCAATAATGTTACTTACAAGAAATTGAAGATGAATATCATTATATTTTTGTATATGCCCATGTTATCAAAATATTCGAAGTAAAATTATCAAGCGTTATTACTATATAAGACATTGACCTTGTATGAATAATTAGTAGATTTATTACAATCGGAGAATTAAACAATACTTGTAAGTTTAGGATATAAAAGAAACAAGAAATGTAACTACAATTTGTAAATACATAACGCAATTTTAATGTGAATTGGTACAACTTCTTATTGTTAGAATATACATATAATACTACACACTTTGAGCTGTTTTCATTTTTTTATACATTTTTCATATATATTTTAAAAATCTTTATTTCTATGAATGATAATTATTTTGCTATGTTCTTTCTTTTTAGTATTATATTCTAATCTATTTAAATCACATTTATCTGATGTAACATCTTGTTGTATTAATGCATTGATAAAATAATTATCTTAATGTACATGTAGATATAACTACCTACCTGAAACATTATGTTGATTGTAAAGGCAGTTTGCAATCGGTTAAGTACTTCCTTTGTTCATTTCACAATATTTTACTTTTATATTTAATTTTCAAAAGTCAACGACCATAACCACTCGTCGCCCCTATATATGAATAGTTCATTTTACATAAGAATTTACTGAGTAATAAGGACTGTGTACATTGTAATATCAAACACTGGTTATAAATGACATAATTTAAGTTTTTGTCAAAATGACGAAGACACCTGTAACGGCAATGATCCCGGAAGTTCTAGTTTACCAAAATTAATTATTTTTCTTTTCAGTATTGGCGTCTACGTTCTTCGCTCCACAGAATTTTGTTAATGAAACTATACGGAATTTTGGATAAATTGAATTTCATATTCACAAATATTGCTTCAAAATAAAAGATAAAAATGCAACTTACATTTTTGACAAAATATCTTCATTTTAATAATTATATCTCAATTTATTCAACATTTTAGATCACTTTATAATGTACTATATAACGTTTAGTAAACAATATCAACATTGAGATACATGCATCCATGGATTTACATATAATACTGTAATATATATCAAATTGCATCCATGAAAAGAAAACCTAATTGATTGTCTCATTAATATTTGGTCAAAGAGTTTTGGACTCATGAGATATAGACACTACTGACAACCCTGCATTATTAATGTTTGCTTTAACATAAAGATAAAACGTAAATAAGTTGTTGGATACAATTTAAAAACATCATTTCATTCGCATTTTCAATATTTTATATCTATTTTTAATAACTGCCAGTCAACAAATGCATATAATTAAAAAATTGGTAATATGTCAAAACAAACAATGGGCACACATAAAATACTGTAAAAGGGGTAGAAGATCTACTTTGAATATATATTATCATTATGTATAATAATTTAGATTCAAAATCTGCAAAATATCTCCTCAGCAAATGAGAATTTGTACGAATAAATACTGTCATTCATCAACAGACATTGTTAACATTTCTTCATGTATATAAAATTCAAGAAATAACCCATGCAAACTGTGTATTCTATTAAGGATTTTAAAAAAAATAAAAAATGTGAATTAAAATAGACCCTTTTGTTTGAAAAAAACCCACCCACGGCCAACAACCCGATTCGCCTTATAATATTTTCCCTTAATTTTCTATTAAAAAATTGGAAGCGAACCAGTCCTGATTCAATGGGGGGAGGGGTTTGGATATTTTCCCCAAAAATTTGGTTTTTCGTACCCCCGGCTATATTTGTTACCCCAGGGTTTTTGGGGGGATGCAATTTTTTTTCCCTTGCACTACAAACAGATTAATAAACCGCTGTAGCATGTTTTTGGCTATCAGCCCAGGGATCGCCCATTTTCAAATTTTCCCATTTTTTAAATTTTTTTAAAAGGTTGTTAAAACCAACCATGCCTGTTAAATTCGCGCTTTATTTGTCCAAAATAATGTGTTTTTACCCTCAATGTACAAAAGTGTTTGCTTTAGACAAAAGTCATTTTTTACATCAAAAGACTTAATAACATTCTTTTTCCCAAAAATTTTTAAATTTTGTGTTTTCAAAAAGGATAAGTAAAAAAATTTTTATAAATTTTTTAATTGGTTTGCAAAAAAAAAATTTTGCAGTGCAAATTAAGACATCCAATTTGTTTATTAAATAAAATAAAAAAACAGTAGTAAATTTGCAAAACTTAATAATTCTTACTTAAAAACAATTCAAAACAAAAAATAATTTGTTTTATGATAAATAAAACAATTTTAACGTCTCATTTTTAAAAAATTGGTTGTTTGTGATAAGTTTAAAAACATTTCGAAATAGATTTTTTGTTATGAAAAAACTAATTATCATCCTTATCCAAAAGTATGTTAAAAAAATCAAAATGTTATACCTCATTTTTTAAAATCATAAAAAAGAATTTTTTTAAAGGGGTTTTGGATAAAGACTTTCCTTTCCCCTTTGAAAACTTGAACCTTTAAAGGGTTCAAATTGTTTTATGCGGGGACTTTTATTCTCTTCCAAAATTTAAAAACGTTTACCATTTTTTTTTATAAGCGGTTTTAAAGTTTTGGTTTAGACCCGTTACAAAAATAACGAATAACCAATTTTATTTATTTTTTTTTACTGCTCTTGAGATCTTTTTGCATTTTTATTAAAAAATTTATTTAAAATTCGTTTAAAATTAATAATAAAATAAAAACGTCTTTAAAACCCCTCTATACCTTTTCCGACTACATCCCATAAATTAAAAGGCCACCGAGACCTCATACCATTGGGGGAAAATTGAAAAGCGTTGGATAATTTTTAAAATTTTTTTTAATAGAAATTCAGGGGAAAACCTAAAATTGTTTGGTATTAAATAAAATTGCAAATTTATTTAAACAAGTTTAAAATTTTACTGTCTTGGTTAAAAAAAAATATTTCGATTTATTTATTACGAATAACTGTAAAAATCATTAAAATGTTTTTTCAAAATTAAAAAAAAACTGGATTTAGAAATGAAAAATTTAATTATTCGTTTTTCTTTGGTTTTAAATATTAAATTTAAACTTTTAAATTTATACTATTTTTATTATATTTTTTTTAAATTTATTATTATATTAATCATTATATCAACAAATTTTTAATATATTGACATTAACTTTCCGTTTTTTGGAAAAGTTTAATTCGTCTTTAAAAGAATGCCGTAATTTTTTGTATTTGTAATTAAATTAATTTATTAAATTAAATTAAAAATATATCATTTTTTATAAACAATCTTTAATTTTAAATTTTAATGTATTATTTAAATAAAAAAATAAATATTTATTAAAAATAAAATTCATTAATTCTATATATAATAATTTATTTTTATTTTTTAATTTAATTATAAATATTTATCATATATTATATATATTTAATTTTTAATATTTACTTTAATTTTTGTTTACTGGGAAATGTTTCCCAAACCTTTGTACTTCTAAAAAGATATGCTGTAATTTTTTAAAACTTTTTCTGTAACTGCTTAAAAAAATGTGTTTTTAATTTAAAGGTCCCGTTCATTCTCAGTTTTCATCCAATTTTTGAATTTTGTTTTAAGCTGGATAGATCGGCAAAAAGTAGAGTGGGATGGGAAAATTAAATTCAAATCTAAAATATCAAACATAAATCAACACGGCTACTTTTATTTTACTTTTTTAAAAAATATACTTAATTTAAAATTAAAAAATTTATAATTGCACAGTCTTTTTAAAAATAAAAAAAACAATTTTGACTTTACAAAAGTGATATTTTGTTTAAATCCCGAAAAGTATAAGTGGACACACTGTGAATATATAGTGTATTAAAAAACGGGAGTTTTTAAAAAAAGGACAGCCAAAAAAAATTGACCCGTAATAAAAAAAAAAAGGCAGATTTCCATACATATTTTAAAGGTTTCCTTTTTTTATTTAACTAAGAATAAACAAAAAGAACTTTCAATTTTTAAAAAATTTACAATTAAAATATCCTTCAGAGAGACATAGTTTTCTTTAATAAAAAAGTTGTCCCGTTTGGGTTGATTGATAATACAAAAAATTTTTTTTTTTTAAATGCTGTATACTTTCCCGTTTTATTTTTACTAATTATCAAAAAAATTTTTTGGTGTCAAGTTAATGTGTTTTGTAAAAATAAATAATACGCCCTTGTGTATTAAAATTGAATGTGAACGAAAATGGGGTGGATGATGAATCTTAAACTCTTTATGAAATCTGTAGAAAAAAGAAAAAATATATTATGAAATTTGGAAAAACAAATTTAATTGAAAAATCAATTAAGAAATAATACTTTAAAATATAGTGATTTTGGAATTTAAAACCCAAAATTCAAGCATGGTTTAGGAATTAGTTTAGTAAGTAATTGGGCCACAAAAAAGGAGGTCTACTGGGATGCCCAAGCTTAGCAAAATTTATTAAAAATAAAATTTTTGTGGGAATTTTTTGCTTATGGGGTTAAAAATCCTTTTTAAAATCGTCCCATGATATATACAACCATAAGATGCACCGAAAAAGTTTACCAATAGAAGAAACATTATTTTGGTTTTCCCTTACTTTTATGCCCAATTTTTAAAAACCCTCTACTCAATACATTTAAAAAAACACTTACGTTTTGTGTAGATCCTGGGTTATTTGTTTTTTCACTAGAAGGTCATGTGGGGAAAAATTAAAATGAGAAGCCCTGTGTAAAACTAAGCCCGTTAAACATCGCAATTGTGTTATAACTGACCTTAAAAGTTTTGCCCCCTATGTGGAAAAACTTGTTTTATATGACAGATTTTTTTTCTACAACCCATGATCCCCCAAATTTAGGTTGTCCATGACTGTCACATTTTCCCTTGCGTAGCAACGTGTTAAAGATTAAACCGCAATCGGTAAAAGCCCCATCCCATGAACCCTTTTCAACAGCAAATGAAAAAAATCATCAAATAAGCACAACACAAAAAAAAATTAACAACAGACTAAGAGGTTCAAATGGTATGGGAAAATTAGAATGAATTTCAATAAAGAAAAAAAAAATAAAAGAAAATTTCTTGAAAACAACAAAAATCCCCTTTTTCTTGGACAGTACTTTTATTTTAAAAACTATAAAGAATTCTGTTTTGGGAAAAACTTTCTTTTGTAAAAGACAATGTAAGGCTGTGGGGGTTTTTTTCAGCACTAACGTACTCTTTTTTATTTTTCATCACAGCATTTTTTGTTTGTATGAAAAAGGGGAAAAAAAATAATCAAAACATACTTTAAAAGGGTTTACTGTACCCGTAAAAAGTTTCTCACCTTATAAATCCCCTGAAGTATAAAAAACCTTAAAGTGACTGACTTCCAAAAAAGAAAATCACAACTGAAGAGGAATGTTTCTGATAAACGGAAAGCGATAATGTAATTTCAATAGAAAGGTGAAAAAGGGTCGGAAATTTTCTTGTCCAAAAATTTTTCCCTTTTCGAAATTAAATTGTTATATAAGTTTAAATATACTTTACTGTTTAAGAAAAATATTTTTATAAAAACGCCTAGGTAAAATTTAATTCTTGTAACTTTTTTTTAGTCAATTTAAATTCAAATGGTAAAAATTAAAATAAGCACACAAATTTTAAATATTTTTTATTATATATATTTTAAAAAATAAAAAAAATATTGTGAAAAAAAAATCTATTTTTTATTATTTATTTTCATGAAAAGTTTTTTTTTAAATACATAACATTTTCAATTTTCTTTCTTCTAACCCATTTTTTTCAAACATCCAAATAAAACAAAATTTAAAAATGGAATTTTTTCATTTCAAAAGGGTTAAAAAAAAAAGTATATAATAAAAAAAATTAAAGTTTGTTTTTTAAATGAGGATTTATTTTCAATGGTTTTATAAAAATTATCATTTTTCCTGTGGTTTGCCCTTGAAAATTATTTTAATAAAACTCGTGAAAAAAATCTTTTAATATATAATAAAATTAAAAATATCCTTATAAATTGTTCAAAGTTTAAAAAAGTTTTAAATGATCTATCAAAAATTAAAGGACCATAAATTTAAAAACCCTATTTTTGTTATTACCGCAATTCTCTCAATTTTTTTATGGTTGACCAATTGGAATCCCGGGCATTTGGGAACAATATAAAATATTCATCCAAAGGGGCGTATTTCTCTACGAAACTTTTGGAAAATATCAACTGATTTCTCCCCTATCTTTAGCATTTTTGGGAGTCCTTCATTTTTTTGGAATTTATAAATTGCAGGTAATTGTTCTAAATAAAGTAAGCAAAAAATCACTCAAAGCCCCAGCAAAACCCCAGAGCGATTTTTTCATTAAAATGTTGGATTCAAGGACCCAAAAAAAATAATATTATTAAATGAATACGGGGTAACATTTTACAGCGCCAAAAAAAATGGAAAAAAGGGGTTCCCCCTGAGATTTCAAACAAAAATTAAAGAAATTAAAGAGGGTTTCGTAATTTATTTAAAAAAATTCAAAATATATATAACTTTTTTTTTCTTTTTTTTTAAATCTTTTATATTCAGAATCTTATTCCCTGCCAGATAAACAGGTTTTATATGAATTTTGAACTTTTTAAGTTTTAAAGTCTGGATTTTGAAAATACAAAATATCCCGTATACAAAAATCCGAAATTTTTTTTTGGCTAAGAAATATGAAAAATGTGATTTTACTTTATTATCATATATATTATCATCAATTGGCAAAATTATGTATGAGGGGAAAAGATGAAAAAGAATGAAATAAAGATCCCAAAAGGACACAAGGGGTTCACAACAGCCCCGACTCAATTTATTCAAGATAGGCAAAACGGTATTTCGTCTCTACCAAAAAAAGGACATTGTAAAGATTTTAATTTGGAAAAAAATATTTGTGTTAAAAAATAATAAAAAAAGAGAGCATTTTTCTAAAAAAAGCCTTAGCTCGCATGTTTTGTGGTTAGAAATGGTAATATAAACTGTTGAAATTCAAAAAGTATGCTGTAAAAGTAATTGAAAATAATTATTTTTTTTCCAATATATTTAAATATAAGCCAAATCAAAAACACACAAAAAAAATGATCGGTCAGACAAAAAAATAATGGGTTTGCGACCCCGATTGATCCCGACCAGCCTGCCCAACCGCGGGATTGATCAGGGTCCATTCTGTTCGCTATCAGTATCTCTACTTGTAAAGGTTTAACGAACAGCAGGTCCCCGATCAGACTGCGTGGATGCGATGCTGGTCTGGGTCCCTCTTGGGCGCAAAAGCATTATTTGGTTTTTTTCATGACGCGGGTCAAATGGTTTTTCTAAATGCTAATAAAATTTTATCTTTGATTGAAAGCACATCTTCAAATTTACCAAGTTATACTGTGTTAAAAGATTTCAAAATTTTC